TTTAGTATGACAGCATTCTTGCAAGTAGGTGTATGCATTTTTTTAATGTATTGGGTATGCTCAAATATTCTAATGAACAGATAGCATGGACATTAGAATTTGAGAGAAGTACATCGGAATGCAGCTCAATAGACCCTTTTCGAGTTCCAAATTACCGCTGTGTTCCTTGAATACAGACTCATTTACTCAGGATTAGCCTGGAATCAGTGTCTAAATATTCACAAAATACCAACGGTAAAGTAAAGAATGCACAACTTCAACAATACGAACACTTTGAAACTCGACGGATCTTGACTGGAACACGTGAATATTCTTCACAAAATTGAGGCTAAGCCTGTGTAAATGAGTCTGTAATCAAGAAATACAGCGCGCGCAATATGCGCAGTAGAACTGCTCCAAGATGCGTTAAACTAAATTTTCAATGTGAAGTCATTTTAAGAGAAGCGACTCCCGGATACAGCATCGTACAACAAGCACTTATGTAAACATCGAAAAAGAAAAATCCCATTTTGTTATAGTAGGATATGCTGTCGAATCACTGATACAGGTGAAGGATAAGATTTGGATGATTTTCAGTTTTGACTTAATTTCAACGGTTTTGATGTACATCTAGTCCGGAAATACGTTATAGCTTAAAACTCTCATACTTTGTGAACTGGTATCAGACACTGATAGCAATATCAAATACACCTATGATGAATAGATAACAATCGATAGGTCAATAACAGTTATATGATGGAACACGCGCCTTAGTGCACGCATTCAAGGACACGATGTATAGCATGTATCATCGTCTCTGAAGGTTTTGTTCAAAGACTCGTGTGCACTGTCACGTCACTATAGTCTTGCAAATTCCAACCTGGAAAATTAACCTTACTTTGAGACAAGCCGCATTGATTCGAAAGGATTGAAAGTCGGCAATGTAAACGCTGACGTCACTAAACAAAGGAGATCGCAGGCTCAGGAAGTATGTGCACGCCCATTTAGCTCCTATGAGCGTTTTCGAGTGGATGGGGCGTTTCGTGCAAACGGTCGAAAACGATGTGAAAATGATGAGCGTTTACACGAAGCCGCATGTAAACGCACATTTTTTTTACCCGCATAAAAAAATATCCGGCTTCGTGTAAACGGGGCCTAATTATATTAAAGTGATATGCAAGGATTATCGTTTTGAATTGGCTTCCGGTGTATCGTTTTGAACTGGCTTCCGGTGTCGGTTCCTGTTTACATTGTATTCAGAAAGGAGCCAAGGTATACTTAACGTACTGTTCTTTCTACGTAGTGTAACTGCGAGGTCTCTCCTTTGATCCAAGTTCTTTACTCCAGCTTCTTCGGTTTTTCCTCAAAAACTCTAACAAGCTAAATTTCAATTCAATCTGTTAATGAACCTGTGCCCTCACTTTGATGAGCTCAATTTAAACTGAAGTTGTTTAAGAGTATCGAAAAAAAWATTAGATGTATTTTCTTCGTCACATTCTCTTAATTTCTTCTTATATCCTTTAAACTAAGCTTTTCAATTCTTATTTTGCCATAACAAGTTAATATAAAAGTTTTTAATATTTTTTCCAGTGCCAAAAAAAATAAGAGTTTCGAGTTTCAACCTCTAGAAAAACAAACTAGAAATTTGGCCACAATCATTACGAGGGAGTACTTCTCCATCATCACGCATTTTACATTACATCAAGATAACAATAATGAAAATCATAGAAACGTTTTAACACAATCTTGTATGCGATGTTTTTGGTGCGATGTTTTTCTCAATAAACCTTTTCTTCCTATTCCTCGAAAATATGATAAAGAAAAAAGATTTTTCTGTTCAAATTTCTTCTCAATTAATGTGTTGTGGAATGCACGAGATTTTAAAAGTATTTTTTCGAAACTTAATGCCAAATGTAAAAACTCTTCCGAAAGATATTGATTACATTAACCCACGCAATACTTGCGTCCCGCTGACCTAAGTAATTAAAAGTAAATCGTTCCCTTGAGAACGAATCGACTAGATATATATGAAACTCCAGGAGATCCGCCCTTTGAAAATGATAAAATCTTGTTTTGATATATATGCGGTGATTTTTGCTAATCAAGATGAAAGAGAGTGTCTGACCCGGGCGAGAGCATTCGTAGTATCGTATGTTTATTATCGATGTCGTCTTACAAGATTTGTGTATAGAGGACATTTAGTGATGATGCCTATCGTTAATAGAGAAGAGGAGAAAGTGTCTAATCTGGTGACTTTCGATTTTCGCGAGGAAAAAGAAAAAAAAAGACAAAGCCAGAAAATGGTCCATGAGTGAAGAAAATTCCATGCATAGTTCAACACATCTAATCCTCCAAAAAGAATCTTGCACTAGGTTACGTAACTAGTCTCCCTTCTAGGATCGCTGGAAAAGTTACCTTACTTACAGGCTTTTTGTACGAGCTATTGCACTTTTACTGAAGAGAACTAAACCTTTTCCCCCTGTTATGTCCCAAAAAGGGATAATATAGCTAACTAGCCTCCTTAAGAAATTAATTTTTCTTTCTTGTTTCTGGAGCACAGTTACCTTACTTTCATATCGCACCTTAACTGAATAGTAACACCGCTTTTTCATCTAATGTCCTAAGATCGATCTTATAGCCATACGTGACTAGCCTCCTTAAACTTCATGAGTCCCTTTCTAGAATCGCAGTTTAGTATTTTCTAGATTTTTGTAGTGTGACATAATATCACATCCTAACTGAAGAGTAATCTAAAACAACATAGGCGTGTCCAGGGGAAGGGTACATGAAGCCGGAAATGCCAGCCTCTTTTGAAGTTCAAAAACCGAAGGAAGGCATTTATGCATGTTGATGAGTCATCGACTTTGGACCAGTCAAAATACTACCCTTTCCCCTCCCGGGCCCCATCTTTGCTGTCGTTTATAGTCATCTTGTGTTTTGTGTTTTTACGATAAATACAAACTGAGCTGCAAGTTCATTAAGCAGTTTAACGTTGCTTTTACCTTGCCTGATGAAAAGAAAGGCCCCAGCACTGTTGAACGGCCTGTAAATTGAATGAACTTATTTAATTGTTGAAATATGTGCATCAGATGTATTCAGAGTTGCAGTATTAAATGTCTTTTGGATTTAAGCCCTGGCATCTGTCTTCACTAGCTCCGTGTCAACATTAATGTCAGCTTTTAAAAATGACCTTTTATTTAACGACTGAGTAATAAGTCGTATAAAAGGGGCTAGAATGCTCTGTTTTTATTAATATAAGCTTTCATCATATAATTATCCATTAAATATCTATATTTTTCCTTTTCGAAAAACTGATATTTTCACATGTGAAAATATCGTTACCATGCTATTGGTTTATAAATAAATTATTTTATAATAATAAAAAGCTTATTAAGTTGATTTTATGGATAATTATATAATAAACAGAATATTACATGCACGCTTGGAGATACGAAAGTTATCTTCTCGTGTTGTTTATCTTCTCGAAGATAAATTTCGTATCTCCGTGCGCTCATGTAATATCCTCTATTTATTTCATAGTTATTTCTTTAGCGATTCGAACATAGCTTTTTTCGATTCAGGAATCATTAATGTAAGTAGATACTGGTTCAAGTTTGTTTGTATTTTGAATCTCAAATGTTGTTTTGTAATTGGGCGGAAAGTTCTTAAGACCTTTGAAAAGAGCCATGACACTGAATTAAACCTACTTGAGCTTTTAATGCCTCTTCAACATATGAATTAACACTTCCCATAGTTTCATTAATTAAAAAATGTGTTATTACAAGAGATTAGACCCAAATCGATTGAGTGTGAATAAACAAAGAAAAATACCTAAAGCGGAAAAGAAGACACTAGCAACAAGTAGCAATTCCTTCATGAATACAGGATATTAATAATAGAAAATGAATGCTTTCAAGTGGAGTGGTTCCTATGTAAATATTTCAAAATCTGCTGGCATTGACTTTATTCTATTTGGAATCACTTTCTGTAGAATTCAATCGAAGAAACAGTTTATAACAGCCTAGCTTTTCTAACCATACCTAGTTTATTCCGTTTTCCTTTTTATCTTAGATGTGCCGTTTTTAGAAGAAGTAGTATATTGTCTTTATTTGCTTTAATTTATTATTATTTCCTAGTGCTTGAAATACACTTTTGACGACGGAGAAATATTATGCCCTAAATAAAGGAGTCGGAAATAGCTCCAAAACATATAAAAAACTATAACAGGGATGCGCAAAACCTTCCACCATTAGGTATGTTTTGCTATCGTTGGCTCTTTTTGAAAGAAGTAAGGTGAGAATACAAACGCATCATCTCCAGCCTGCGCAGTCCCGCGCAGTCCATCCAGACTGTTCGTCTTTTATGAGAATCCATGAGCTATGTCATGTCTACCCTTATGGCCCATACTGACTATACTGGCCTAGAAAGAGGGGGTCGAACAACTCATCCAAATTACAAACAAATTTAGAAAATTATATATCGTTTTATGTTGCTAAAAGAAAAAAGGCTTTACGACCAAATTTTTAGCCATGGATTATCCTGATGAAGTTCCTGTGGAATTGGCGGGAACTTTCGCGCCAAAAACGCGCGCGCGCTCGCCCTTTTTGGAAGCCTCAGCCTCAAATTAAGATTATCACGRGGTATGTGTCTATTAAAAGACTGATAATAAAAGACAAAGACATTATAAACATAGATTATGCGACACACTTCCTTCACCACCGCTAGATAATCAGGCTTATTTTTACTACGAATCACCGAAAAGTACGATCCAGTCAAAGCCCGCGGTCAACGAACAAGCTAGAACTTTGTACGCAGAGTCTTTAGCGATAACAAAATTTGTCGCTACTAACTCGGCTTACTTCATCGATAAAACTCAATAACAACACTACATCCGGGAGCTCTTAGCGGATGGTGCAATAAAGAGAAAGCGTGGGTGGTCAATACACGATATAATCCTCTTAAAATGTTAAGAGTGGCGTTGACGGTTTTGAGGGGCTTGGTCTTGTTCTGATAGGCTTTAAAAGAGGGATTCCAGCGTAGAAAATTTAGTTCAAGAAAGGCTTCCAAGATTCTAGTATATACTCCAACGTTGGTGAGTTCCATATAAACGTCATTTGCAAGAGCTCGCTCACTCAAAGACCTGACTAAACATCTGTATAGCCTTCTGCTTTAAGTCTTTCCTACACTATGGGGGTACTAAGGAACGCGYTAATCGTACTGTTATTATTTGCTGTTTGTGCTGAAATGTTTCATCTTCAAGTTGGGAAAGTTTCTAAGAAATGCAGTTGTAAGAGAAGAGGTCGAAGAATGACTCAGGTAAGATCATAGCAAAATAATTCCAATATGATTCACGTTTTGTTGATATTTTAAACCAACATTCCTATGGGTGTCTTGCAGATTTGTTAACTATTTTTCGCTACGCTAGTGCTTCAGTCCTAAATACTTCTTAGAGTATATCCTTACAGTTTTCAATTTGTTATGCATCAACTTGTTTGTAAATCCTGTACGATATCTTTAGTTCATGCAAAAAAACTTTTGTTTTTGTGATAATGCAGCAATTTGATTTCTCGATAATTCCCGTAAGCCAGTTCGATTTTCAAGAATTCAAATCAAGTTATACTTATTCTTGATTTTCTTAATAATATATTATTTCCTCTGGGTACTCTGTATTTTGCTTGCTCCATTCTTGGTCAAAAGTTGTATCGATTTGAATTCSATGATTGTCTTGGCGGAAAAAACAACTGTAACTGTAAAAAAAAAACTGTAATGGCAAGCCATTGATAACATATTTGTTTATTTTTTCAATAGTACTTAGAGGATATTCAACCCGCTCTAGAAGATATGTGCGTATTCACAAGACTACACTGCAGCGACTTAACAAACCCAACTACAAAACTCCAACATCAGAAACAAGGCCTGACGTCAATGGGCCTCAACCAGTTCACTTTAGCAAACCAAGCAAGTAAATTTAAAACAAATGCACTCAAGACCTTGTGTCAAACTGGAAGGAAGCTCTGTGAGCCTACAGTGACAAGGAAACGTCTAGTCGCGTCACCATGGCGTTTCAAGAAAGATCGGAGACGACTTCAAAAAATTGATACCAATCAAGTAATTAATTGACTTTATGACAACATCAGCCTCTGCACGAGCTGGGCGTGTGAGTGAAGAGAGATCAACTGCTTGTACTGAATAGCACCAAGTACTCTCTCAATATATACTAGATTGTCTTTTCTCTATACATTGCAATAAGGTTTTTCGTTGATAAATCATTAACCCACATGAGTCAATGTCTCATGACTTATCTTTCGTATGTTTATCGTATCACTCCCCTACGAAATTGATATTTGCTCTAGCTGTTGACGCACATAGCTTTCCTTGAAAATCCTATGAAAACCAAAAGCAAATGTAGGCTTTGGTGATGACGATTTGGAAACTGAAAGGCATTGATGCAACAACGATGCAACAACGCGCAATGTTGCCATCAGCTACGCTTAACTGTATAATCAATATATACTTCTGCAATGTCACGCGCAGTACGTTTCATCACTTGAAAACAATTTGCAACGATGCTGACAATGGCGTAATATTCTCAGCCAATGAAATGTGACTTTTCCGATTACCGCTGGCCGTAATTTTGCGACCTTTGAGCTGCTTTCACATTTTTAATAGCTTTGTAGCAGGAGGACTATTCATTCTATGAAATCAAAGAAACCTTGTACAGTTTTGAACGTATATATTGTATTTGAGGTCTTCACGTTTGTAAATTCGATATAAAACGATGTAAAATAAAGACTGAAAAACTGATGATTATGTCAATATTAATGGATGAATAAATGTTATATTGTCATCAATTGTCGTATAAAGAAAGGTTAAAAGGATTCAGGTCTCAGTCAGCTGATAAAAGTCTTTTAACCTCATTATCTGCTCCAAATGGTAACCAAACACTGACCACATCGCGTGAAACTCCGCAATTGAGTTCATAGTTGATAGGAGGAGAATATTCTATGCATGATGCCCCTTTATTAGGCGCAGGCAGTTTATTTGTAAAGCGCATATCTTTTTGGGGGGGTAGGGGGGGATTGTGTTGTTGAAGTAATGGGGAGTGGACCTTGTCATGAAAATTCTGTGATTGTACGCGTTGATGGGCGGGATTACAGTTTATTTGTAACATGTACTAGTGTGTGATGGGAGAGAGGAAAAGGGATGATTGTGATTGTGATTTTCAAATAAGTATTTCAAAACATGCTACAAAAAAAAAAAAAACAGTTTTGAGAGCAGCGTGCAGGTGTTTTGAAAAAGCTACCCCAAGAGAAACTAAGTAATAAAGCACCTGCCATGTTGATTGACATGACAAAATTTTTTTCTTGAAAATGAACAGTTCAATCTAACCATGGCGGCTATGCCTTCAGCCCTAAAAATATGTTTGGGGTTTTTTTCATTTTCTTTCGGCGATAAATATTAAAGCAATTGCGGATAATAAGAATATAAAATCCTTTATTTAACGCGGTATGCAGTAATCGATTCCTTTTCCTCATATTACTAGCTTCCTATTTATTTTTTTTCTTCCTTTGTTTGCATTCTCGCCATCCAATATTTCCTTCCTTCCTCTATTTATTTATTTGCTTGTTCATTTTTTATTTTTTCGACTTAAGTTTTCTCGTAGTTTTAAGTTTACATTACTCAAAATAAGAATCGAAACTATATTTGCCTTTAAATTTTGAAAGTCCAACTAATATCTCTTCCCTAGTCCACCACCCCATCGATTGTGTCTTGGCGGTGGACCTTCTCTTTTGAGGAAGGCGTCTTTCATTTCTCGATTGACTTTTCTTGCCTCAAAGCCTTCGCATGCGGCGTCTTGACTCTGTTCTTCAAAGTTTGGAAGATCTGCATTTCGTGTGTTTGAAGAATGAAAAATTAGCTGATGAGAATATCATTCATTACTGTTGACTGTTGCTAAATCTAATTGGACCTTGCGGGATGAAGAGCGTTTTCTAAGAGCACCTGCCGAAGCAAAAAGGATCAAAGCTTGATGTCGTGCTTAAATATGGCGCTGTCTTTCACTATGTACTATTTAGAGCAAACACAGGCGATGCACAACTTAAGCTTACTATAGTGTATACAGGTTATTCAATGTACTGGTCTTTTCCTTGCCACAAGGGTCTTCTCTAGGTTCTCTGGTTTTCCTCCCTCCGTAAAAATCACGTGTGTCGAGAGTCGTACGCATAGAATGCCTTGAACGTGAAACCCCACGTTATAGTAAACCAATATTCACATTAAATTCGTTCACCCACAAAATATAATTTTTTAAATTTTTATCAAATATAACTCCAAAATTTTGGTTTCGAGAAGAAAATAGCGTCAATGACGCGGCTCAGTATATTTTAGTAGAGGTAGATAGCCTCTAGACATCCCATGTTGATAAAGCATTATTTCCGTAAAGAAATCTAAGGAGGATTTTGTACCAACCAAAGTTGCGTTGAAAGTAAAGAATTATTGAAATAGCTAAGATGTCGACGGAAAGGGGGGAGAGGGGAAAGTGGGTACCGAGGGTGGCGTGTAGCGCCAGTAGCCCTCGTCTCTCACCTGTTGAGTTTGATTCCCAAACTCGGCATCACACGTGAGTAGAGTTTGTTAGCTCTCTTTTCTTCCCTTCACAAACCTTCATAAGCTAAACTTCAATTTGAACTTCGTCTTATCTGTGCCCTGACTTTGATCAGCCAACAGGTTGTTTCAAGGTATATCGATAAAAGTGATGTTTTACTGGCTTATTGCTGAAAGGAATGCCTTACCTAAAGACGTGCTTGCCTGGAAAACCCCCATCAAGAGTACCAAGTATAAAGCTAATGTAGACAGTCTATTCATCTTGCTTGACTAATAAAGATACAAAAATATAATGCTATCACACTTGTAATTTTTAAAAAATATTGTAAAAAATATATACACAGTTATATAGTGATTTCAAAAAATATTGTAATAAAAAAACATATATTGTAGAAATAAAAAAAATAAAAAATAAAAAATAACACTATTTGTTTTTAAAAGGAGCTGCAACGGTCTCAAGTTGTAGCGATAATTGTAGTCTATTTGGTTCTTTTGTTTTCAAGTATTACAAAATTGATATAAAGATTTTTAAAAATAATGAAAATCCTCTTCATCTTTCAACAAACAACCTAATTTTAAAATAATTGTTAAAGACGTTTTACTCTGATTTTTTTAAAACACGCAGTTTTTTAACAGTACAGTTAACTAAAACCTGTAAGTCGTGAAACTTTGTCTTACCTTTAGGGAAGCGTTCTCCGAGTGCTAACAATATCGAATGCGTATAGATATGACGAGTATTAAAATGCCTTCCTTTTAAACCCCAATTTGTAAGTCTCGCTGAATAAACTAAATTATCGAGGAAGACAGACTTAGTTGTTGTCGATTGAAAATGGATTTGCGGAAATTGTAAGTAGTAGAAACTAGATAATTGAAATGATTAATATCTTGATAAAAATGCCCTCTGGCAAAAATTAGCACGTTTTTGTAATACTAATATACTAGTAGTTTTGTGACAGTTGTTTCCTTGAGAGGGTAGTAAGATCTATCTAAGTCTGGTTTTCTTGCTGAACTCTTTCGTACAAGATCAACTGGCCTTTTTTTTGTATCGTTCCTATCTGTTTTTCCTAGCGTTTAAATTTCTGCTTTAACACTGTTTTTTGCCTTTTTTTTCTTTTGTTTAAACAAAGAAAAACTTGTAGAATAGCATATGGAAAACATGTTCAATTGATAGCTTAAAGTGCCTCCTGATAAAACAAGTCCATTTGTTGTATTCTATTGTCGTGGGTTTCCCATTTATAAACTGTGAGAAAAACCACAGCCAAATTAAAACACTCCTACGGACATTTGATAACTGAAGATCACGATCTTTCCAATTTAAGCATTGGAGTTATATCCATATCAATTTTAAACATTTTGATAAGATCATGAATGTAATGCTTTTAGAGTATTTACTTTCTTAATAATTTGTGTTTAATATTTTCAGTAATTTGGTTGTGTCTCCTTAAGTAAAATTATAAAAAGGAACTAGAGATAGACATTATTTTCTCTTCGGAATGCAACTAGTTATGCCTCTTGAGCAATATGCTCTCACGCCACAACATACTTAACTCTATTATGAAACTTATTAATAAGTTCATTACTGCGATTCTCGATATTCTGAAACTCTTGAATTTCAATGACTTGTTGTGAAATTGGTTGTTACTGCCACTGAAGRCATAATAGGTATGAGACAAAGGCAAATTAGGCAAATTTCAAAAGGAAAAAATAAAATATTAAATATTAAAAACCCAAGTAAGACTGAAGCCGATGAAATTTTCAACTTCAAATTATGGCACGCGCAGTTAAGATCCTACAAATTTCCGCCTCGTTTATTCTCACCGTCAGCTATACTTTACAAGTTCTTTTTCCCCCAGGTCTGATAAATTGTGGAATAAACTCCCTAGTTGTCTGGAGCATGCTGAATCTGTCCCAAAATTMAAAGATATCATTTTTCATCATTTTACTAGAGGAATAATAAATTCATAGAGACCGCCTTAACTTAGCGCGTTATACAATCTTGTACAGCATTACTATGATTTTTGCCTAACGTACAATTGTTCCGTCATTTTCGTTAATTATTATTTATTATTCATCTACTAACGTGCGAAGTAATTTTAACAAACTCAACACTTGCAACAGTTTTATTCATTCATTGCTGACCTATTCAAACTGCTAAATTTATTGTTATCAATTTAATCATTTTTGTCCTGCTTTGGTAAATCTTTGTCTATTTTATAATATTTTTAATTAATCCTTTGAGTCTCTGAATGCACCAAATCATGATGGTGGCCTTCTGATGTCATCTTGGGCTGCGTCTCTGAATGCACCAAATCTTGATGGTGGCCTTCTGGTGTCATCTTGGGTAGTGTCTCTTCCTAATGCTCCAAATCTTGATGGTGGCCTTTTGGTGTCATCTTGGGTTGTGTCTCTTCCTAATGCTCCAAATCTTGATGGTGGCCTTCTGGTGTCATCTTGGGTAGTGTCTCTTCCTAATGCTCCAAATCTTGATGGTGGCCT